AGGACGGCGGTCCGGCAGGAATCAGCTCGCATCCCTCCGTCTGCTGCTGGTTCGTCATGTGGGGCGACGTGCTGCTCGGCCACGGGGATGTGGTGCAAGCTTGTCACATAGTGAGTCACCAAACACCGCCACACAGCGTCGCCAAAGTGCGAATCACAGTCAACGCAAGTATCAGCTCAACGCCAATTTCTACACCACCTCCTGACTTTGCGTTGATTAGCGCTGGAACCGACGCTCGTTTCGCGATGATAAATCTGGACGTGTGCGCCGATTTTGGCATACGCAAGGTTTTCTTGCGCCGCAAGCGTTGATACATGAGGCCCCTGGGGAGCAGCTCTCTGCTTTCCTGGATAAAAGCATCCACCAGCAGCAAGGAGGAAGATGAAGATGAAAAGTCAGAGTCAAGAGTCAGGTTCACTGTTTAGGGCATTTTAAAGCTCAGATTTTAAAGTTGAACTGTTCCTCTAATTTTACTGAAATATCTTAAAAGCTGTTCACATTTTATTTTAACTATACAAAGTGGTTAGGCATTAAGGTATTAGGCATTAAGCTATTTTAGCTAATTATATTATTTTGTACCAACAGGTTATTTCTGTGTGACAAGACTTGCAGTAATCTTGTATTTACCTTAATAGGCTATATTCAACCTTGAAAAATAGGCTATTACTCAAACTATTCTATTCAAGGCAGCTAAAGCAGGGAACCAGTTCAAAGGTCAAGTAATTTTATTGAGATATTGACATAAACAAATACGCAATTATATTCAACATGTGCCTTCAATGTTGATTTATTTTTTAAATCTCACACTGCTATAATAAGGCAGCCATCAGTTCTACATGTTGCATAAAGTGCCCTTATTTTTCACTGAGCACCTGCCCCCCAAAATGTCTGTGCACGCCACTGCTTACCTTCACCTCCTTATCCTAACTGAACTCCCTTACCTATACCCCTTCATACCACCTAACTGCCCTCACCAACCCCACCTCATTCCACCTTACCTCCCTTACCTATACCTTCTCATCCCACATTACCTCCATCACCTACACCACCGTCATCTCTCCTTCACCTCCTTAACATACAACCTCTTACCGTACCTTAACTCCCTCACCTACACTCTGGTCATCTAACCTAACCTCCCTTACCTACACCTTCTTACTGAACCTAACATCCCTTATCTACATACATTCGCCCTCCATTACCTCAATCTCCAACACCCATCTGACCCTTTTTTTACCTCCGCTATCCACACCCCCTCATCCCACCTTACCTACCTTATCTACCTTTACACCTGCATCCTACCTTACCTCCCTCACCTACACCCCCCATACTCTCTGACCTCCCTTACCTACCCCCTCCTCATCCTACCACCTTAACTTCCTCATCTACTCCTTCTTGATCCTACCCCCACCCTTACCTACACCTCCTTACACCCCCTACACTTGACCTTTCTCACCTACCTGTCCTCATCCCACCTGACCTCCTTTATCTACACCTTCTCATCCTACAAACCATCATCACCTATACCCCCCTCATCTAACCAAACTTCCCTTACCTTAACCCCCTTATCTGTTCTTACACCCTTTATTTACAGTCTAACCCTACCTGACCTTCCTTATCTACACCCTCCTTATCCTACCTGACATCCCTCACCAACAGCCCCCTCATCACACCTTACCTCCCTCACCTACTCCCCAATTATCCCACCTTACCCCCTCACCTACATCCCTCTCACCCTACCTTACCTTCCTAACCTATATTCCCTAATCCCACTTTACCTCCTTACCTGCCCTTCCTCATTCCACCTTAGCTCCCTTTCCTAAGATCTCTTCATCCTCCCTGACCCTTCTTTCCTAAAGCCACTCATCACACCTTAACAGCCTAGCCTACACCCCGGTCATCCCACCTCCCACCCTCTCCCTCACTTACAACCCCTCATCCTACCTAAACCTCCTTCACCTACAATACAGGCCAAAAGTTTGGAAGCAAGATCAAATTTGTACAAAAAAAGATCATAGTTTCATATATATAATTTGCAATACAATAAACATGACTTTTGAGTAAAGAGTAACTTATCAGAAGACATTTTGACTATAATTATTAGGTATTTGGGTTTTTGTTGTTTAGACTTTGCTTTCTTTAAAGTAACCTCCTCTGGCTTTAACAACAGTTTGGCATATACCAGGCATTCGTTCCACAAGTTTTTTAAGGTATGTTCCAGGGATTGCATTCCAAGCTTTCTTAAGTTCATTAAAAAGAGACTGCTGATTCGTGGGACGCTTTTTTCTGACCCCCTTCACCATACCTTACCTCCCTTACCTTACCTACATCCTGCACAAGCTCAATTGGAGAAAGGTCTGGAGACTGAGGGGGCCAAACCACCTTTTGAAGAACACCTTCGTCTTCTTTTTTGTCTAGGTAACCCTGACAGAGCTTGGCAGAGTGCTTAGGGTCATTGTATTGCTGCAAAACAAACTTATGAGCCACAAGTCTGAGTCCAGATGGAACAGCATGGTGCTGGAGGATGGAGTGGTACTGTTCCTTTTTCATGATACCCTTTACTTCAAACAAATTTCCTACTCCATCACCTGCAAAACATCCCCATACCATGGAACTACCACCTCCATGCTGAATTGTGGGTGTAACACATGGTGCTTTCAGACTTTCACCAGTTTGTCTGCGGACATAGACTCTGCGTTTTAAACCAAACAGTGCAAACTTGTTTCTAGTCATCATAAGTCCAATTTTTGTGAGCTTTTGCCCACTCATATCTCTTTTTCTTGTTCTGTGGACGAAGTAGTGTTTTTTGCAGATACACAACCCTTTAGACCAGCCTTTCCTCAAACGTCATTTCATGGTTGTCAGAGATATGGGTTTCGACCTTGTCATGTTGATTTCCTCCCTTATTCATGGTGACCTCCCTTACCTACACCTTCCGCATCCTACCTTACCTCCGTCACCTATATCCCCCTTATCCAACCTTACCTTTCTAACCAACTCCCTTGTCATTCCACCTTATCCCTCTCACCTACACACCCCTCACCCTACCTTACCTCCCTTACCTACACACCCTCATTCCACCTTATTTCCCTCACCTACCCTCCCACATCCTACCTAACCTCCCTCTTCTACACCCCCTCCATGCCACCAGACCTTCCTCGCCTACCCTCCCTCATCCCACCTGACCTCCTTCATCTACACCTTCTCATGCTACATTACCTCCATCACCTACACCCCCCTCATCTAACCTTACTTCCCTTACCTTAACCCCCTTACCTAACCTTACACCCCATATTTACACAGCCTCACCCTACCCTGCCTTCCTCACCTACACCCCCACATCCCACCTTAACTCCCTAACTTACAACCCCTTATTCCCCCCTCATCACCTTATCTCCCTTACCTAAACCTCTACATTACGTTTTGCCTTCCTTAGGTACACCTCGCTCATCCCACTTTACCTCCTTTACATTCAACCCCTCATCCCATTTTACCTCCCTCACCTTCATACTTTGATCCCGGCTTACCTCAATTCCCCTCATCCTCCCTTAATCCTAACTTAACTCCCTACCCTGCTCACTCCTCAACCCACCTTACCTACCTTACCATCCAGTTTCCCTCACCTACATCTTTCTTTTCATACCTTGCCCCCCTCATTTACTCCCACTTATTCCACTTTCCCCATTCCACCTACACCCCCCTCACCCCACCTTACCTCCCTTACCCTCAGCCCCTCATCCTACCAGACCACCCTCTTCTACATACTCTTACCCTACCTTACTTCCCTCACTTCTCCCCTCTTCATCCCACCTTACTTTCCTCACCTCTACCCCCTGATCCCACCTTATCTCCCTTACCCCCATCATTTCTACCTTTACCTCTTCAACCAACACATCCTTTCCCTACCTTAGCTGCCTATCATCTACCCCATCATCTTACAATACCTCTCTTATTCAAACCCCCTTACTCTACTCAAATTCCCCTTTTCTCCTCTTCATAACTTACCTCGCTCACCTTCTACCCTTCATCCCACCTATCCTCGCTACCTACCCCCCTCACCCTACATTACCTCCTTACCTACACCCCCTCATCACACCTTACCTCCCTCATCTTTCTGTCCTCACCTACAAACCCCTTATCCTTCCTGACCTCCCTCACCTACACACCCCTCATCCTGCCTGACTTCCCCTACCTTCACAACCGTCACCCTACCTTGATTGCCTCACATCTAACCCCTCATCCTACCTTTCCTCCCTCACCTATGCACCTTCATCCCACCTTATCTCCCTCACCTACATCCCCTAATCCCACCTTACTTCCTTCACCTACACACCTCTTACCCTACCTAACCTGCATTTCCTACACAACCTCACCCACGCCCCCCACCTACACACCTCTCATCCCACCTAACCTCCCTCACCTACACCCCCTCATTTCACCTAACCTCCCTCATTTACACCCCCTTAACCTACCTTATCCCCCTTACCTTCTCCCTATAACCTAACTTTACCTTATCGAATACGCTTATCACATTTAATCTCCCCCCACCTTACCTCCTTGAACTACACTTCTCATCCCACTTTACCTCCCTTACCTACACCCCTTTATCATTCCTGACCTCCATTACCGACACCCCTTTAACCCACTGTTCCTCCCTCACCTACCCTCCTTCATCCCACCTTACCTCTCTTATCCACCACCCTCCTTTTCCTACACCCCCAAATCCTTCCTGAACTTCCTGACCGCCATCCCCTCATCCTACCTTACCTCCCTATCCAACACCCCCCTTAATGCTCCCTGACCTTCCTTACCTAAAGACACTAATACTACCTGACCACCCTTTTCTACACACCCTAATCCTACCTTACCTCCCTCACCCACACTCACTGATCATACCTAACCTTTCTCACCACTACTTCCTGATCCCACTTTACGTCCCTCGACTTCCCCTCTAGCATTTCTATCTTTAACCTCTTTAACCTATACATCCTTATAAGAGAGGTAATGTTAGATGATTGCAGGTGTAGGTGAGGCAGCTAAGGTGGGGTACCTTAGCTGCCTCACCTACACCTGCAATCATCTAACATTACCTCTCTTATCTACACCCCGTTACCCTATCTTACCTCAGCTATCAACATCCCCTCACCTTACTTTACCTACATCCCCTTATCCGACGTCACCTTTGTCACGTCCCCTCCCTCATCTCACCTTACCGTCCTCACCTACAAACCCCTCATCCTAGCTAACCTTCCTCCATACACACCCCTCATCCTTCCTTATTTCCCTTACTTTCAGAACCTTCACCCTATCTTAATTGCTAACATCTAACCCCTCATCCTACCTTTCCTCCCTCACCTACACCCTTTCGGCTCACCCAATCTCCCTCACCTACACCCCCTAATCCCACCTTACTTCCTCAACCCAACACCTCTTACCCTACCTAACTTGCGTTTCCAACACACCCTCACCCCACCTTTCCTCTCACCTACACCCCTCTCATCCCATCTTACCTCTATTCCTTACACCCCTCTTTCATCCCTCATCTACGCCTTCTCATTCCACCAAACCTCCCTGATTTACACCCCTTTAACCTATCCCCCCCTTTACCCATCACCTAATTTTACCACCCTTACCTAATTCGCTTATTACATTTTATCTTCCTCACCTACATCCACTCATCCCACCTCAACCCTCTCACTTACAACCCCTAATCCCATATTTCCTCCCTCACCTAGAATCACTCATTTTCACTTATTTACCACCCTTACCCATACCTCATCATCCCTCCTTTTCTTTACCAAAACCCCTTATCCCACCTTACCGCACTCACCTGCACCCCCTCATGCTATTTTACCTCCCTTAACTACGCCTCCTCATCAGACTTTATCTCCCTCACCTACACCCCCTTGTCCCACCTTACGTTCTTCACCAACACACCTCTCACACTACCTTACTTGCATTTCCTACACACCCTCGACCTACCTTTCCTCCTTCACCTACACCCCCTCATCCCACCTTACCTCCCTCAACTACACCCCGATTCCACCTTACCTTCTCTATTTACACCCTCTTTACCTACCTTATTTCCCTTTCTGCACCCCATCACCTAACTTTACCACCCTCACCTAATTCACTTACCACATTTTAGCTCCCTCACCTACACCCCCTCATCCTACTTCAACACCCTACCTACAACCCCCCATCAAAGTTTACAGCCCTTACCTACACGCCTTCACCCTACCCGAGTTACCATTATTGACAGCCTCTCACCCTACCTGACCATCCTTTCTGTCACCTCTATCCCACCTTAGCTTACCTCTCTCACCTACACCCCCCGATTCTTCCTTACCTCCCTTACCTTTCCCCTCCTCATCCTAACCTCCCTATCTCAGCTACATTTCCTCGTCCTAACTTACCTCCCTTACCTACACCCTCTTATCCCAATTTACCTCCATCACCTTCACACTACCTTACTTGCATTTCCTACACACCCTCGACCTACCTTTCCTCCTTCACCTACACCACCCTTATATTACCTGAAGATTCTTATCTCATGCTCATCACACCTTAACTCCCTCAATGACACCCTCTAATCACATCTAAGCTCCATTACTTTAAGCCCCTAATCCCGCCTCATCTCCCTCCCCTTCACCACTTCATCCCATATTGCCTCCCTTATAGACACCCTCCTCATCCTACCTTACCTCCATTACTTATACCCCCTCATTGCACCTTAACTCCCCTACCTACACCCCCTCATTACATCTTGGCTCTATAATCTAAAACCCCTCATCACGCCTCACTTCTCTCACCTACATCCCTTAATCCTACTTTACCTCTCACCTACACCCCCCCCATCCCACCTTACCTTCCTTACCTATGCCCCCCTAATCCTACCTTATCCCCCTTACCTTCACTCTCTCATCCCAATTTACCTACATCTTCAATCTCCTCATTCCATTTTATGACCTCACCTACAACTCCTCATCCCACCTTATCTACCTCACCTACATCACTTTGACCCATGTTACCTTCCTGACCTTCACCCCCCATCCTCACCTTACCTTCCTTACCTAAACCCCCTCTTCAAACCTTGCTTCCCTCACCTATACTTCCTTTATCCTTCCCTAGTGTTGTGCCATTCATAAACTACCTGACAATCCTTTTCTACAACCACTCATCCCACCTAAACTCCCTCAATGACACCCTCTAATCACATCTAAGCTCCATTACTTTAAGCCCCTAATCCCGCCTCATCTCCCTCCCCTTCACCACTTCATCCCATATTGCCTCCCTTATAGACACCCTCCTCATCCTACCTTACCTCCATTACTTATACCCCCTCATTGCACCTTAACTCCCCTACCTACACCCCCTCATTACATCTTGGCTCTATAATCTAAAACCCCTCATCACGCCTCACTTCTCTCACCTACATCCCTTAATCCTACTTTACCTCTCACCTACACCCCCCCATCCCACCTTACCTTCCTTACCTATGCCCCCCTAATCCTACCTTATCCCCCTTACCTTCACTCTCTCATCCCAATTTACCTACAACATCTTCAATCTCCTCATTCCATTTTATGACCTCACCTACAACTCCTCATCCCACCTTATCTACCTCACCTACATCACTTTGACCCATGTTACCTTCCTGACCTTCACCCCCTCATCCTACCTTACCTTCCTTACCTAAACCCCCTCTTCAAACCTTGCTTCCCTCACCTATACTTCCTTTATCCTTCCCTAGTGTTGTGCCATTCATAAACTACCTGACAATCCTTTTCTACAACCACTCATCCCACCTAATCTCTCTTACCTACACCCTCTACTCACACTTTAGCTCCATAACCTTAAGCCCCCAATCATGCCTCACTCCACTCACCAACACCACTTCATCCCATATTGCCTCCCTTATTGAAAACCCCCTCATCCTACCTTACCTCCATTACCTACACCCCCCATCCCACAATATCTCACTCATCTACAACCCCTTATTACATCTTGGCTCTATAATCTAAAACCCCTCATCATGCCTCACTTCTCTCACCTACATCCCTTAATCCTACTTTACCTCTCTCACCTACACCACCCCCATCCCACCTTACCTTCCTTGACTATGCCCCTCTAATCCTACTTTATCCCCCTTACCTACGCCCTTCTCATCCCAACTTACCTCCAACATCTTCAGTCTCCTCATTCCATTTTATGACCTCACCTACAACTCCTCATCCAACCTTACCTACCTCACCTACATCACTTTGACCCACGTTACCTTCCTGACCTTCACCCCCTCATCCTACTTTACCTTCCTTACCTCAACCCCCTCTTCAAACCTTGCCTCCCTCACCTATACTTCCTTTATCCTTTTATAGTGTTGTGTCATTCATAAACTACCTGACGATCCTTTTCTACAACCACTCATCCCACCTAATCTCCTTTACCTACACTCTCTACTCACACCTTAGCACCATAACCTAAAGCCCCCAATCATGCCTCACTCCCCTCACCAACACCACTTCATCCCATATTGTCTCTCTTATTGAAACCCCCCTCATCCTCCCTAACCTCCATTACCTACACCCACAATAACAATAACTCACTCATCTACAACCCCTCGTTACACATTAGATCTATAACCTAAAGCCCCGCATCCTTCCTTACCTCTCTCACCCACAGCCCCATCATCCTACCTTCCTCCCTTACCTCCACCCCCTCTTTACACCCCATCTCCCTCACCTCAACCATTCATCCCACCTTACTTCCCTTTACCATACCCTCTAATTCAGTGGTTCTTAAGTCCAGTCCTCGAGGCCCACTGTCCTGAATGTTTTGGATGTTTCCCTGCTCCAACACACCTGATTCAAATGATTAGCTCGTTATCAAGCTCTGTAATGGCTAAATAACGAGCTAATCATTTGAATCAGGTGTGTTGGAGCAGGGAAACATTTAAAACATGCAGGACAGTGGGCCTTGAGGACTGGATTTGAGAACCACTGCTCTAATTCCACATTACCACCTACACCCTCCTCATCCTTCTTTACCTCCCTCACCTGCACCCCCCCATTCCACCTTATCTCCATCACCTACACCCCCTCATTACACCATAGCTTTATAACCTAAAGCCCCTCATACCTCCTCACCTCTCTCACCTACACCATTTAATCCTACTTTACCTCTCTCACCTACACTACCCTTTTCCTACCTTAACTCCCTTACCTTCACCCACTTTTACCACCTTACCCCCGACCTACACCCCACACTCACCAAACATTACCTCTCTTGCCTTCGACCCCTCAATCTACCTCACATTCCCTTTCCTACACTGTTACCCTAACCTTACTACCCTTACTTACACCCCCTCGTCCTACTTTACCTACCTTACCTACGCCCCATATCCCACCTTACCCACCAACCTACGACCCCCCTCATCACACCATACCTCCCTTACCTTTACCTAACTCACCCCACCTTACCTCCCTTACCTACACCCTCTTACCCTTCGTTACAGCTCTTATCTACACCCCCTCATCCCACCTTTCCTTCCTTACCGACACCTCATCATCCAACCTAACCTCCCTTACCTACAACCCCTAACCCTACTTTACCTTCCACACCTGAACCACCTCATCACATTATATCTCCCTTTCCTACAACCCTTCTTCACATCTTACCTTCCTGACCTACACCCCTCACCCTTACTTTACCATCCTAATCCATACCCCCTCATCCCACCTTACTTCTCTCATATGCACCCCCTCACCCCACATGACCTCCTTTACCTTCACCCCCTCATTCTACCTTAAATCCCTTACCTACTCTCCCTCATCCCACCTTACTTTCCTTACCCACACCTAATCATCCCTCCTGACCACACTTAACCAAACCTCCTCATTACTCACCTCCATCACCTTCAAACCACTCATCCCATCTTACCTTCCTTAGATACACCTCCTCATAGCACGTAACCATCCTCACCTACACCCTCTCATCCTACCTTACCTTCCTTACCAATTATCCTTTCATCCTTCCTAAGTTTCATTACCCAAACACCCTAATCCAGCCTAACCTCCCTCACCTACACC